CTTGAGGTCCAAAGTAGGACTCGTGGAAGGGATTTCCATGATTACTGCACCAATTTCAATTCAGCAAAGTGTATTAGATGCGTTGTTAACAAAACTTAGATGTTATTGAAGTCGAAACGTTTCAACTTTAACAATTAGCATCCAAGAGTCGGCTTGAAAAATCTCGGTGACATTTTTTTGTGAATGAACGTATCTATGGACCAATCTATTACTTTTAGAAGGAAGGATTCGTTCTTGATTAAAATCCTGTTTAGGACTTATTTGTGATATGGTATCAAAGAGAAAGGTACAGAAAAGATGTACAGTATTTGAAATTTTTCTCATAAAGTTACAAAATAATTGGGTGCGTCTATAGTTTTTGGGTGGACTGTACTACTTCGAAGTACTTCTATTATTAATAGTACTACGTAGTACCCACGACAAGCTATTAACAAGTTTAGGTTGTCTGTGGAGCAGGGCAGGACCTTACCTATTTTAGAGTCGAATGTCCGGATAATTCGACATGATGCCCAAACTGTAGACCCTATTACATTGTAGAGGCTTTCTAGTAAAACAATACTGCGATGTGATTGGCTCACAGAGAGTTGGTACAGTGATCATAAATTGCACAAAGACGAATCACGTCTCGAACTTGCTATTTACAGCTATTCTGTGTAGTCAACTTGCCGTGCGACAAGTGCCATAATGTTAACGCGTACTGTACCCAGAGCCAGTCATCGAGTATGGTTTTGTCGTTCAATTCTTGTTTGAATTATACAACAACCCACACAAAGTCGATATCAGTCCCTTTTTCATTTCTCGTTTTCACTTATTGCCATGAAGTTGCTTGCTGCTCTCGTCCACGCCGCCGCCGCCGCCTCGTCCCAAGCGGGGGCTGGCCCACTTGCGCTAGTGTTTGACAGTCTTGCGCCGGATCCACTCGTCACGGATCCACTCGCCTTGGGCGAAATTATCGCCAAATACGAAAAATCGGGAGTTCAATTCCGCAGCCCTCTGGCGAAAGATGGTTGTGAAGCCGCTGCTTACAATGGAGTCATCGACTGCAACCTTGGACTGAAACTTGAATTTGTCAACTTTACCATCCGCACGATCCACGTTCCCACCAACGCGTCGCTGTGGCTGCAAGCTGACTTGTGCCCTTCCGTCGAAGGTAACTAATCCCATTTGTTCACATGTCCCCCCTTTCAAACCAATATATATTCACGAGAGTTTCCTTCTAGGCTTGCCCAAGTGCGAAAATTCCTGCACCCCCCACGCACGTATCCCCATCCAAGAATTCGCTGAAGAGGTCACGTTCCAATGGACTCCCCCGTCCCCTATTGAACTTAGGCCCTACACGAGG